TACTCCACCACATCCAGTTCAGAAGCCAGGTTTGCTCCTAGAGTCCAGGTCCTGTCTTCTGCAGCCCATGGCCAAAGTGACACACAAGCAAACACTCACCTCTTCAAGTCTTGATGGCGAACAGTCCTGATCCAAGTTCCTCACTTCCAGACCTCCAACCACTACCTTCAGTTGGCACTGCCCCCTTTACTGTGGTCAAGGCTCAGATTTCCTCAGACCCCAAGACTCAGGAACTCAGGGTCATCCTTACCCCAATCCCAGCAAACAGGGCCAGGAAACCCAGTAAGAATGAAAAACCTGAAGAGGAAGGCAAGTATCTGGATCCTATCACTCCCCAGTGACCAGCATGACACACCATCCCTCCAACGACCAGGTTAGAAAGTAGACAACTGGACTCTGGCCCTCCTACCTCATCCTTCAGAATTGGAAAAGAGCTGTTCTCAGTATTATGACTGCCTGCCCACAGACACCCCTCCCTGCAGCAGCAGGAGAAAGGATACCCCCTACAAAGTCACTACCCAATGTGGTCCACTATGGATACCCCAAAGGATTCTAGAGCACCCCATAAATGGATTCCCAGGTTTCTCCCTCAGTGCAGTGGTTTCACTCCACTCTTAGCACAGGTCTGGAAAAAGAAGGTACTAAAGAAATACCTGTCAACTTTCTGCTCTGACCAATCTAGGCCCTTGGACTGGAAGTGATACAACAAATCCCCAGAGCCTTCAGGACTTCTCCCTCTAATCTGAGAAACTCAAACATTCCCACCCTCATTCTCCCTATCACTGGGGATAGTATTGTTCTCCATCCCACCTGGACCCAACCAAAGCCTTCCTCTGGCTTTCTCCAGGTTCATTTTGGAAGCTCCCTTGCCCAGATAATCCTGAGATCGACCCTGGGCCCAGGTACCCTGACAAGTCATGACTGATGAGTTATTCACGTTGTGAGAAGATGGGGTTGCTATTGTCCTAAGAGCTGGGCGCTAGGCATTTGCCTTCCAAATTAAGTCCCCACCTCATTCCCCCATGTCACCCCAAAAGAAGCTAGAAGGTTTAAGCAACTGCCACAAGAAGACTCCTTCTACCTCCTTTCTGGCATCCTAAACTGAGTGCTCAGGGTCAGGAGGGACCTTGGGAAAGAGGATGACCTCTTTCCCAAGTTTGTTCAGGGGTCAAAAGACCCCCACTGGCCTGTCATCCGGCTGAGGTCCTCTCCACTATCACTACCTTATGAGGGGCTGTAGCTCCAGAAGGTATCTATTTATTATATAAATGAAGCACTTGGAAAAGGAGCTCCTACTTTATCAATAACCTCAAGTCACCACGCAGGACTTTTGAGGACCCTGGAAGAAGTATCATCAGATTTTGAGGGTTAAGTGGGTTATGTTTAAAGTTTATGGGGTTGATAAAGGCATGTCTGGTTGGACTAGTTTAAGGGTTTTATTAGCCCAGAGGCACTGGTCCTTGAGGTGATGGCTTATTTTAAGAACCGGAGAGGGCCTGAGTAGGAAAACTGGAAGAGGAACAGGAAGGTAACTGAATATCAGTAATACACTTCACACTGATACTTAGGGCTCTCAAACTTATTATATGCCTAAATCCTTTCCCTTTCCCACAGCACCAGGATGGGAAGACCTCCATCCCCACAACTTAAAAAAGTGGTAACAGTGGGGAATGCCTGCCTGGCTCACCTGGACCTTACCCAGCCCAAGAGCAGTACCACTCCATTCTTTGCCTGGAGCCAGACAACAGTAGTAGGAGAGGAAGACAGTGGGCTACAAATGGGGTAGGAGGAGGAAGACATTATGAAAAAGGCTTTTTTCCCCAAAAAATGTTTGTGGAATCTCTGGATGAGGCTAGAATCCTGACAGTGGGGAACCATATGCTTGAAGTAGAGGGGATGAGGACCGTAAGTTGTAAGGAGGATCAAGTTCATTCCATGACTCAGAACTTAACTCTTCATGCTTACTCGCTGCCAAAGTCCAGAACTAACTGGGTGAGGGGACTCCAACCTATGGACGAGGAGACCATGTTCCAACTAGAAACACCTGGTGTACAGGGCTGGGGAGATCTGAGAATGGAGGCAATATCCGTCACTCAAAGTTCCGGGCCCTCTAGCCACTGATGTCCCTAAAGTGATAAAGTGTCCCAACAGGTGATAAATATGGTTAAGCAACTGATATATATGGCAAAGTTCAGGGTTAAACCCTTTAAAAATAGAGCAACAAAGTCACACTGCCCTCACACTCCGGTGTCCAACTCACTTAGGCCTCCCTCTGGGGTATCATGGGGAGAAGCAAGCAGTGTGGAAATGAGCCTATAAGCTCCATAAGCTCACTCCCCCAACCTCCAGCACCCGCCCCCCCCCCACCCCCGCCACTGCCATCAAGTGCCCTTTACCCCTCTGCTGAAGGAGCAGTACGGAGACAAGCACCAGAGACAGAGCAACCTTCACCATTAAACCACTGTCCCATAGCTGCTGCACATCAAGGATGAAGGCCTGCGCCAAAGCTGCATAAAACATGTTTAATTTCCAACCATGGTCACAGTCATTGCGTATCCCACATTTGGAGCAAGGAGAGAGAAGGTGAGTTATTAAATGTATATAGTCTACATTCCAGAGGAGGAAAAAAGGAAGAGAAAAACCAGTTCAGAACTTCAGTTACCACTATAACACCACAAACAAACTTTGGGGGAGAAGTGGGAGAACCCCCGGGGAGAAGAAAGGCTGGAACAAAGGAAAGCATAAAATTAAACCCACCAGAGGAGACACAGGGAGGGAGTGGGCAGAAATGGAATGAAACACCCAATCCCAAAAGAACTTTTAGGTGAATGGGAATGTAGAAAGGTCCACCCCTGCCAAGGGCCTAGCAGCCAGGATATGAGAAGAACCCTCACTGCCCCCTGCTGGACATATCTTAAGCAGCACCAAGGCAACCTCCAAGGCTGCTTCCTAATACTCTTAGACCCATTGGTCCCTGGAGCCCCCAAAAGGATGTGGAGGTGGGCCTGAAATGAGGAAAACCTCATTTGGGACTGGTATCTAACTGGGGAAGGCCAGAGAGGGAGTGAGGCGGGAGAGGAGGCAAAGTCCTCATCAACCAGAAAGGTACAGAGTGGGGAATCCTAAGCAGGAAAGAAACAAGGAAAGGGGAGACGAACAGGCAACAGCACTGAATGAGTTAGAAGGCAAAGGAAAGAGTTCAGGGAGAGGGGCAGCAGGAGCAAAAAAAAGTCTGCGGAAGAGAGACAGAGGCAAAAAGAAAAAGTGGGGGGAACCATCTGTGGGGTCAGGGCAGTGAATACATGTTGAAATAGAAGCTCCAGCACCCCACATCTCCCCACCACCAAACACACATATACGTACACACAAAGGTTTAGAGAGCAAGAGAACTGCACACACCCATTGCATCCTGGGTAAGTAAAACATCACTAAGGAACTGGCACTGAGGGAGACACCCCTGGAACCTCTCTTTCACAGTTCAGTCGGGGTCGAGTAAGGGGTATTAATCTGCCTGTTGTAGACAAAGGTGACAGGAAGCCTGGCCCCATGGGATGGGGCTTGGGACAGCCCTTCTGGGAAGGGGGTCCTTCAGCCATGCTGCAGGGGGCCCTGGGCCCTGACCTTAGCAGAAAGGTATGGGCAACCATCTTGGGAGCTCAGGGTGCAGCCAGCATACACAGGAGCCCAGAGAAAAGCCAGGGCTTCAGACACTGTAGAAGTCAGGACCTCAGGAACGAGTGCCCCCTGTAGACAGAGAGATTCTGTAGCAGCAGCTTCTGAACAACTACATAGTACTGATAATAGGGAAAGGACCCTGAAGATCACTGCATCACACCACCAACCACCACCACTTCAGGGTTCTAGTACCTCCACTCCAACCCACAGATTCATTTATGTGGGCGGGTGAAGAGAGCAGGGGAAACGTGTTGGGATGAAGTTGGGAGGGACAGCATAGCAGGATGGTCTGAGGGTTTGGAAACCATAGAAAAATTTCCATCCTTCAGCACATCCTGGACTAGAAAAAGAACTGGAGAACACGGGGATTGATACTGAGGTCTGCTATGCCACCCCCACTCCCCCACTCCCCGGCCCACCACCCAGCCAGCCTGGGACTAGTAGGGTGAGGCAACTTCTGACAAAGGACAGATGAACCACCCAGCCCCCAAGATCAGAAGATTGGGGGGTAAGAAAGAGGGGAAGGCAGATATAGGACCAACCCATGCCTCACTTTCGCCTAAAAAACAATAGGATGAAGATGGAAAACATGAGGCCCTCCCCTGGTACCCTGGGACCCACACATACAACATGGTCTTGTATCTCTATCTCCCCTTCAAGCTCCTGAGGAACAGATCTAAGGATGAGGGGGAGGATCAGTTGAATGCTTTGAGCTGGTAAGAGCGAGTGGGTTCCTCTCTCTTTCCCACATACAAGGCAGGGCAGAATGGCATCTCCATGGGAACAGCCATCTAGCAATAAATGCCACCCTCTGCCCTAAGCAGGGTGAAGAAAGAGGTAACAAGGAAGATGGTGGTGGAAAATCCATCACCTGTCCTATCATCCAGGAAAACCTATCTGCAGAAAAGAGAGGAACCAGTGTAAGACTAGGGCAGCCTTCCCTCCGCCTTATTCCCTTTATCTCACCAACATGGGAGGGGCAGGTGACAGGCTAGAATGGGCAGTGTCCTGGCTCCGAGCCCTGAGCTGCACTCCACCCCCTCCACCCTTCTCCCTGGTCCCTACATACATATCTCTCTATACATGTATATACACGCGCACACATGCACGCACACAAAGAGAGGCCCGTGCAATTTCCACGTAGAACAGGGAGAGGGTGGCGAAGGAAAAAAAAAGATGGTAGGAGAGGGGCCTATAGGGAGAGGGAAGGGACTCAGATGCCAAGAGCACAGCAATCAGAGCCAAATGAAGCAAAAAGACAGACTGCCCCCCCACTTCCCAAACCTCAGAGGATGGGGGAGGCACCCCATGAAACCATAACAACCTTGTTTTGTTTTAAATCTGTTAAATTGGAATGATTCATCATCAGGACAGCAATTGGGGACTGGTCGTGGACAAGGAAAAGGTGGGGAGGCAGAAGAGACAGGCTCTTTTTGGGCATGCGGACGTGATCCCCGGGGCCCTGGCCACACCGGCAAGGAAGGGGTAGGGCTGGGCAGGGAGAGAGTAGGTATGTTAGGGGTGGATGGGGTGGTTGGGTAGGGCTGCCTGGCTCTCACTTCTTGTTTTTGAGCTGGTTGGCCAGCCAGTCCAGGCCTTCGTATAGCCCGTCCCCGCTGGTGGCACAGGTGGCCTGAATGTACCAGTTGCGATGACGCAGAGAATGCAGGCCCAATTTGTCTGTGATCTCAGCAGCATTCATAGCATTAGGCAAATCCTGGAGCACGAGGGAGACACACAAAAAGGATTCTCAGGATCTTTCAAAGGCTTCTAGAGTAACCGTTACCAATGAGGTGTATACCAGTACCCCCTCCTCCTCCTCCACCGTAGGGACCCAGAACAAGATCCTAAGGAGCTGCTTTGGATTTCGTCACCCCAGGACCCCAGATCCAAGACATTAGATTCCATTGGGTGGCGGGAACCAAATACAGGAACAGCAGGAGCCAGGACAGGTCCAGAGAAGTAGACAATAAGGAAGATGAAAGAGGGATTTGAGGTGAGGTCTACCACACCAATCCCTGAGGATGGAATGTTGCTAAGTAAAGCTGTAGTGTGGAACAAGCAGAGGAGCATAAAAAGCCAACTAATCCTATTTCCCACACTTCCAAAATTGAGAGCATAGTCACAGGGTTTTTCTGTATAGTTTGCCTTCTCTCAAATCCAGGGGTGGAGAGAAATCTCACCTGTTTGTTTGCAAAGACAAGGAGCACAGCATCCCGGAGCTCATCCTCTGCCAGCATCCTCATCAGCTCCTCCCGGGCCTCATTCACTCGCTCTCGATCATTGCTGTCGACCACAAATATCAACCCTAGGGAGGCAGAGTGTGGGCTGCACAGAGACGACAGATGAACTTCCCTCCCCACCACCAAAAGACAATACCCTCCTTATATCTTCCAAATATTTACAACATTTTCTCCTCTTCTCCCACCCATTGGAGCTACACCACAGCCAGACCTAGAATGACAGCCAAACTCTGCTCACTCCCAACCAATTCATGTGAGTCCCTGGGCAATTCACATGCCATACCTTGGGTGTTTTGGAAGTAGTGTCTCCAGAGAGGTCGAATCTTGTCCTGGCCACCCACATCCCAAACTGTGAAGCTGATGTTCTTGTACTCCACTGTCTCCACATTGAACCCTTTGGGAAAAAAAAAAACAAAACAAAAAACACCCACAGGCAACAGCTAGTTGGAATCAAAAACCAGGCTAGCAAATGATGCCCCAATGGGCTCATTTGTTTCCTTCAATCTTGCCCATGATTCTAGAAAGGGAAAGAAAGCTAAGGCTTCCTCAGACCTGCTATTCCTTGACCTTGAAGCCTAAAGGCCAAAAAGAAAAACTAAGGTAATAAGTGAAAGAGGATGAGGAGGGCCAATCAGGAGGTTCACAATCGCATGAGTAATGCAAGCCAACCTTCCCTACTCCTCAGGCTTTGGTTCTCCCTCCTACAAAGAAATGACTCAGCCCCACTCCAGTACATTGGCCACCAGAGTCTTTCTCGGCTAAGAACTGGGGCCTGTGAGGCAGAGTGGAGAAAAAGAAGTGAGCTATAGTCCTGGAGCCCCAAATGCAGAACCACCTACACATGATGATCTGGAGCCCCATCCACAAGCCAAATGTTCTCCCTCCCACAGGCCCGTCTTAACCAGAATCAGGGCCACTGAGGATCTAACTGAAGCAAATCCAGGCCTCTGGCAAGAACATCAAAGTCCTTCACCTGCTTTCCAAACAACACAGAGAACAAACCAGCTCAGTACCTGAGGGCAACTGCTGAGTGCCAGGCTGCATAAGTTCCTGCATCAGAGGTCAGGGTAGGTAGGCAAACAGCAGCCCCACACCTGCCAGTAAGCTAAATAATCATCCTTTCCTGAATCCCAAATTGCATGGACTTGCCTGGTGGCCAAGAGAAGGAATCTAGCAATAGGCTCCTTGCCTGGCTCAGCTGTTGCATGAAAACCTGCATCCAAGCCATGCCCTTACCAATGGTGGGGATGGTGGTGACGATCTCTCCCAGTTTCAGCTTATACAGGATCGTGGTCTTTCCTGCAGCATCCAGGCCTACCATCAGGATGCGCATCTCCTTCTTCCCAATCAGGCTCTTGAGAAGGTTTCCAAAGATATTACCCATGATCACAACAGCTTTCTGAGGACAGTAGGGCCCAAGTCGGGGCAGTGGCAATCTGGTTTTGGCCTAGTTCCTGGTATGGAGGACTTGATCCTAGGCAAAGAAATGTAAACTTATTACCACCATCTGCTTGTCAGGATTTCATATAAATGAGATTTGTCAAAGTCAAGGCAGGAGTCCATTCATGACAAACTAAGAACCTGAGGGGACTGTGAAGACGAAGGCCCACTCAGAGACATCCTGAGCCTTTGGGAGCAGGGAAAAAGCAGAGAACACTCAGGACCCCTGCTCTGCCAGCAATCTACATGTGACTTTGGACAATTTTATTTCACCTCTCATATCTGCACCTATAAACAGAAGGACGTTAAAACAGATGATTTCTAAAGTCCTTTCCCTTCTGACAATCTACACTATACCCCAAGGTGTTGCAACATCCCTGATGCACCTCCCTCCAACATCACCCTGAAACTTCTGGAAAGGGTGGGAGAGGAGGGAGTGGAATGAGGAGTGGCTCTTTGTGATTCCCAACAAAGTTCAGGCTTGCCAGTTTCCCAAGGTTTATGTTCTCTGCTCTAATCAAGAGACTGCTTCTGTTTTCATATTTCTGCAATTCCACCTTCCTTCTACACACCAAAATTACTGAAGAAGAAATAAGAAAACAGCACGCCTAAAAGAATCTCATCCTTCCCACTCTGTGAAATGCTGAGAAAATGGTGCCGAGAGTTGAGAAGTGGGGTGGGAAGAGACTACCCCTCACTCCTGAGCCAGGTAAATCCTAGGCTTGCCACGGCCCAGCCAAGGACAGCTGCTCCACATGGCCACCTGCACTGAGGCTTTCTCCCCTAACCCCCTTCAGTCTATTTTAAAATCAAAATTAGGTCATACTGCTCCCCTGTTCAAAACCCTCTCTTGGCTTCATATCTTCCTTTCGTTAAAACTGAAAGCCATCGTACAACACAACCTGCATTTCCCCTGCTTCTCTCATCAGATCTCCTACTACTCTTCTCTTTGCTTACTCTACTTCAATTTCCCAACACTTTTCTGCCTCAAAGCTTTTGTATTTGCTATTCACTCTGCCTGAAATGCTTCCCCTTCCAGACAGCCTTCATAGAGTACTCCCTCCCTTTCTCAGGTGTCTGTTCAAATGTCTCCCTATCAAAGAAGTTTTCCATAGCTACCTATAAAAACACACACACGGGGAACGGGATAGGGGGGTAAGGGGACTAAATGGTAATGGAAAAAAAATTTTTTAATCAAAACACACACACACTCTCTCTACCCCATTTATTCCACTTCTCTTCACCGCATTTATCACCATCTGACACATCACGTTTGTTTCTTGCTACATTGTTTTTCTCCTCCTCCTATAATGTCAGCTTCTCATCTACTTTGTTCACTGCTATGTTCCATGTACCTTGAATAGCGCCTGGCACGTAGTAATTGAATAACTGAATTAACTCCCAGGATCTCTACTGACCTCACTAGCAGCTCACTCAGATCAGATATTTATTCCTGGTACATAGTAGGCCCTCAACAAACACTTGCTGAAAAAAATAAAGGAAGCAGTAAAAACCACTATAAAGGTACAAAATGCCCACCCCAACCACTGTTTCCAGCAGACAGGATCATAAGAGTCACTTATTCCCTCTCTTGTTCCCTCCCTTCTCTATGCCACAGGACAGCCACAGAAATGCCTCTTAAAAACAATGAAATTGGGGTTCAGAATCACGCCTGCCAGCCAGTTCTCTGTGCCTGCAGGAGACATGCGTCAGCGGGCAGCTTATTCAGCAATCACCGTATGCCAGTGCTGGCACTCTCTCTCGAGTCTGGGAACCATAGACACACACACACACACATAGACACAAACCGGCAGGCGCAGGAACAGGTCAAGACAGAGTGCACCCAAACCCAAGAATGTGAAAAGTGGATGAGGAGGAATCCTATTTACAAGCTAAAGCATGGGGCTTTGGTGAGAGTTTAGTTGTTTTTTTCAAAACTATTTCAGGTTTATTTATTTGGGTTTTGGTTTTTTTTTTTCCTATTCTCCTCAGTTTGCAGCAAATTCCAGAATAGTACAAAGGGGCCAGATCAACAGCCCATGGAGGCCAAACTACTAGTTTGTCCAAAAAACAGAAACAACGAGTGCCTATGGAATGTTTCATCTTCAAAGTTGTCCCCAGACACTCACTAATGAGCCAGGCGTGGAGCTCCTGGTAGGTTCCCCAGATGAGCCCTGCCCTTGACCCAGAGGGCTCACACCCCAGGGATAGGACCTGGCTCAACCTTAGGGCTCAACTTCAGCCAAGTCGCCCACCAGCCCTCCTCCCTGCCCATCCTACCTCAGCACACCCAGGCAGACCAGCCAGATTCCCGAGCATCCCTGAGGCAGGTGGGAGCAACTGCCCAGCTTAATATGATCAGATCCCACCAACCTTGGCAACTGGTGGTAGTCATACTGCTGGTTCTGCCACTATCACCTCCAGAAACCTAAACCTTCCCCAAGTCTTCCTAGTTTTCATCTTGTCTCCTACTCAGGTAGCCTTTCCTTCAGCTCCAGAGAGTACTTTTCTTTAAAACCTGGGTAATAAGGGTTGGCCCAATTTCTGAACTGAATTTATACAATGCATTTATCCTGCTGGCCTTCATGTCTGAACTATTGCTTAAATGTTTACCAACCATGAGTACAGCAGTGGCTGAAAAATATCCGTTGCCTCAGAACATGCATACACTTTCCTTTGGCTTGTCTCTCTATGAGGCTATCAGGCTGAAGTCTTGGCTCAAAAGCTGATCCCAGTGTTACACTTAGTTCTCTTTCCTGGCACACCACAAGGCCCCTGAATTTCTGAACCATTCATGTGCCACTTAACCACCTTGTGGACCTTTTTTCTTCTTTTCTAAATCTGTGCATGGACTGTCTTACCAATTTAACTGTGCATTCTCCATGGGCAAGGAGTGTACCTTGTATTTTTATCTGTCCTCACTCTCAGGGTCAAACCCATTGCAGAAGTTCAATCAAGAGCACTGAATGATTTAAGTCTCACCTGAGGATGTCTTTATATTACTTCCTCTGTCCTAGCAGTACTTGGTATCTGTAGGTAATACACAGATAGTTGCTTAGATATCCTGTCAATTTGGTCATTTTCCACACATATCTGACCCAAGGGCTGGTTTGGGAACACCATGAAAGGACTAGAAGACTATAATTGGTAGACTGTTCTCTGGCCACTTGATATGCAATGGGGCTGATGGATAACTGATGAAAAATCCAAGTTACCTGCCATGTGTCCCCTGAGGCAACCCAGGGCCTTGAAATTAATGGACAGTATGACTCCTCTTTAATATAATCAGGAGCTTGATTCCTATGAGCATGCCCAAGTGGGTGTTGGCTTTGTCTTGGCTTTCTCTGCCCCTGCCTATTACCAGAAAGCATGCTGCCCCTACCACCAGGATGGTAATAACGTTCTGCTGTGGGCCATAAACATGAATCTTTGGCCATATAGCCAATTCTCGCTTTCACCATAAAGCATTTCTAGAAAATGCTCTGGGAAGCAGAAAGGCAAAAAGAAAAAACCCCCCAAAACCCTGGACTGTTTCCCTGTGCACTGTATAGCCTGTAGTTACTCTCCTCTACCACAGATTGTACTCCTGTGTGGATAGGGCAAAATGCCAGGGTTCCATGGGCTGGTGGAAACCAGCAATCAGCAGTTAAAATTGAAGGTGACTGGCTCAAGATGAAAAATGGAATACCATGATAATGGAATATCTCTATTAACAAAGAAGCTATCTCGACATTCTATTTTACAGTCACAAACTTTGTTTTCAGTGGTTAAAAAAAAATAGGAGCTCTAAAAATGTGTTTCCAGTACAATCTGTGTAGGACATTGCAGTTCAACCAAGGGCATTGGCTAATTTAAGCTTCACCTGAGGACATCCTCACTGAGGACCATTCCCTGTCCCCAATCTCTGCCAGCCCCCACCACCAGGAAAGGCAGGTTGATGCTGTAACTGGCTGCTCAGCCATCTTGGCATATGTGTTGGAAGAACATGTCTGCCTCACTCTCTAGGTGATTTTGAGAGCCATAGCTCAGCCTGCCCCTCTACGCTCCCCCCGCCTGACTCCAGTAACTGGCTCAGGCATGTGTTTTGAGACAGCTCTGAGGAGATTCCTGATCTAGCACCACCTCCTCTTCTCCAGGCTACATGAGTCCAGGGAAAGGAAGATCAGTCTCTCCTAAACCGTCTACTGCCAGGCTGGGTACACTAAAAAGCAGCTTTGTTCTCAGATAATTTTCAAATTGAGATATCACTAATAGAGATACTATTTTTAGCACAACCAATGGAGCCGGCCAATAAAATTTCAGTAAACAAAAGCAGGGTCAGCCTGTATTTAGTTTCCTTAGTGCAGCTGACTTGTGACTGACCTCTGTAAACTTTTCCAAGTATTTGTCTCAAGAGCACTGTAATCAGCACATAAGAACTCTTAGATTAGTATCACAACGACTTCGACTGGACTCAAAGGTTTCCCAAAGCCAAGACATCGCTTCTGATGTCAGCTTTCATTCATTCATTAAACATTTATTGAGCATACTGAACTAGGGATACAGAAAGGAAGACAGTTTCTGCCTCCATGGAACTCAGTCAACGGGAGAAAACAAAACAAAACAAGTGAACAGAGGATTACAAAACAGTGTGAGGAGAAGAGAATGGTAGGCACGTAGTATTATGGGGACAGAAAGCTGGAGCAGTTAATCAAGACCGGGGGGTAAAGGATGATTTCCAGACATGACATTCAGGTCACAACTGAGCTTACTCCTGAAGGAAAAATAGGAATAAGACAATAAAGAGGAGGGCATGGGGTAGAAGGAAACGCATAAAGACCTGAGTTACAGATGGCACTTTTTACTAGGAAAAGCCAGGTGCAACTGGGAGGTAGTTCATTTGGATGCAGCATGGAGAATAAAAAACATGGAGGCTGGAGAGATAAGGGTTAGATCATGAAGGGCCTCAAAAGGCCATACTGAGTAACATGATCAGATATGCGCTTTAGAAACACCATTCTGGCAGCAGCTTAGAGAATAAATTAAAAAGGGAAA